TTCAATTCTATATAATCAGGTGCAAACGAGAAAATGATACCTGGAAGCCCTCGGAGGATAACCACAATATGATCGGGACGAGTAGACCGATGAGGTCGCTTGAATAAATGCGAAGCATCAATAATTTTAGGTTTCGGCGAAGGAAGATTTAGTCCATAAGGTTTACCGTCTGCAGCAAACTTCTTAGAATACGGGTGCACTGCCAGAGAATCCTACAGATAAACAAATTGAACAAAGAGTTTCGCCATCTCCCTAAAAGTAACAAATGTACCAAAAATTTAATCGATGATAAAAACACATATCAAATTCTTTGAACCTCTGTCATAGGACTAGATGAAACATGAAACATTGGTTTAAGGTGGTGAAAGGAGCGGTGTTCAGGAACTGAAGAATATGCTGAGGATGTTATTGGAGAGACACTAACAGGAACAGGAAACAGGGATGAAGGTTTTGCTTCCCAAGGCATAGGCGGCGGTGGAGAAGTAGGAAGAGGGGGTTGCTCATCAAAGAAGCGAGAATCTTCAATTGAGCTTCCATTTTCGAAAAACCTTACACCCCCAGAATGTCGAGGAGCGTATCCAGCGCTATAATTAAAACTTCGAGTACCGTGATGAGCATTTCCGTGAGATGAAAACGGTCTCATATGAGTGGGGTTCATCTCAGAGCGAGGGGGTGGCCGATAATCACGATCAAGAATGTTCATTTTGCTGTTATTTCTATCATCCATCCAGGAAAACGCTTGTGGGTTGTCCGAATAATGCAATTCATTTCTATGAGAAAGATAGCTATCTTCGGAGGCTTCAGGAGGAACAGGGCGTGGCATATGCTGAGCATGCCAATGGCTTCCACCCTGATCATATCGAGAATGGGACAATTCTTCGTTTTGGGAAGGCCGCCATGGGTCAATTCTGTTACCAGGCGCCACCGGAGCATGCTTTAAATCGGACCAATAACCTTCCCTACCATTCTGGAATTGTTTTGCAGGAGCCAAATTACCTTCATCGTGAAAATTTTGATTTCTTCCATCATTATCGCCATTACCCGAATCCTGGAAGTGATTGATTTCCAAGTTCCTCGTGGTGCCGACCTCTTCCGGATCTCCAGATCCCACTGAATTCTCGTAAGGCGGTCCACTCGATACAACCCCATGATCCCGAATCAACTTCAACCTACGTTCATCCTCAAATGAACTCCTGCCGCTCTTCTGATTCTGATTAAGCTCATGAACACCACCATCCAAGCCTACATCATCAACCCTCGGCCTCTTGTAGCTTCTCTCAGCATCGTTAACAAACTCATTTCCGCCATAATCATACGGTGGCGGCAAAAAGCTTTCTTCTCTGTGAGGCTGAAACGGCAGATGCCCATATGAATTGGCAGAATTTCTAATCCACGGTCTCTGATCTGCAAAACCATCGTCGAGATTCCCCATAGACGGGCGCGGCATCCCCATGGGTGAACGATGAGGGTCGAAACCAGGTCTTTGAAAAGGGGGATCGGGTCCTAAGGGATATCTAGGGTTTTGGTTGAAGGATGGATGGGGAGGACAAAAGGGAAAGTGAGGCATTGCGCAAATTGGGCATACAGTACCTTGAATTGGCCTATAATTCCATTGTTGCTGATAGTGAAGATGTTGATCCATTCTGAAACAAAATTAGGGTTTTAGAATCTCCGTTCTTTATGGTTCTTGACTCAACCGAAGAAGATGAAGAAGCTAAGCGCTCTATTGAATTATTAACATAAAATATAGGGATGAAAAAATAAATCAATTATATTTTCTAAACCCAAAGTAATTTCCTATATTTTTTAACTATTTCAAAATATTTTACGTTTTAATAATAATTAAAATCTCATCAAATTTAAATATTAAATATTTATAAATTATAATATATGAATTTGATTTTAGTACATTTTTTAGCCACCACCATTAAATTAAAATAATTTCATAATTGATCTCGGAAATGAATTTGTCGGATTCACCAATGATTTTGTGGAGCTCAGGTTGTTCTTGCTTGTAAACTCAATTAAAGTCGACTTCATTTATTCTCTATTTTAAATTTAGTTTATGTCATTTTATTTAAGGTAAAATTGAATGATATATTCATTTTATTATTTTTTCACCCGACTTTTAATAATAAATTTTAACAAGGTAAATTTTTATACTTCGGTTGGGTCGGGTTCATTATTGAATATGGCTTATTTGTGCTGAAAGAATTTACAATCGGAATAATTGGGTTATGTCTAAAAAATGTCTATTTCGAGTTTGTTAGACACGAGGCGGTGTGTCAGCGAGGACACTAGGCCCAAAGGAGGTGGATTGTGAGATCTCTTATCGTTACGTATCGTCGTCGTTCTCACCGTTTTAAAATGAGTCTGTTAGGGAGAGATTTTCACACATTTTTAAGGAATGTTTCGTTCCCTGATATGGGATCTCATAATCCATTCCCTTGAGGGCCAACGTCCTTACTGACACACCACCCAGTGTCTGGCTTTGATACCATTTGTAATAGCCCAAACCCACCACAAACATATATTATCCGCTTTGACTCGTTACGTATTATTGTCAGCCTCACGATTTTAAAACGTGTCTATTAGGGAGAGGTTTCTACATCTTTATAATATAACGAAGGTTTTATTCTCCTCTATAAAAAAACCCATATGAGATCTTACACTTCTCATATAAAACCAACCGTAATACTATTTTTAAGACAAAGTACAAAATTTATGAATATTTTTATTAATTTAACTTAAATTTAGAAAAAAATAACACAAAAGTAATGTTTTGGATTGTCCGGATCTCCAAGAGGTTTGGCTGTCTTGTCTCATATAAATAATATATATGAATTTACCATATAGTTTAGACTTAGGACAATTGTATTTCAACAAAACTTTTAATTTTCTTATTTATTTAATTCATAAAATAAAAATTTACTTGTTTGTCGTTTTTCCAAGTGTCGGCGTTGCATTTCGACAGCTCAACTTAAATTTCTCTGTCTTTTTTTTCCAATTATAAATGTTTTTAAATTGATGTTTTCTTAAATAAATAAAGCACGTGAGTTACACGCGCTTAAACTATGGGCCCGTACAGTGGGCCTTGTGGATGTTGGCCCAAAAGCAGTGGACGATAAGATAGCGGCCCACACAAACTGACGATCCACGTTTTATTTATTTAATTTATTTTTTATTTTCCCAAACTAAATGAATGGTAAAATTAGAGTTTAAATTTAGTTTATTGACATTTTTAGTTTTTATGGTTAAATTTATTAAAAATGTTGACATTTCCAATTTTGCCCTTGAGATTTGGTTAAATTTCACAAATGCAATTTCAAACCATTCTTTCCGTTTGTAAGAACCTATTTCAGTTGCATAATATAAAGAATTCAATCAACGGGTTCAAAAACAGTATTAGAAAGTACAACTTGTGGAACTTCGATACCCATAGACTTATTAACTAAATGAAAGTTGGCGTAGACTGAACCAAACCCACCCCATAGAAGAGCGAGGGTCACATTTTGGCCTTAAAAAAAGTTGTCCTGCCCAGTCATATGTCACGTGAAGTCAGTTGCATATGATTAGTGAGTGTAAGCCAAAAATAAGATTATGTCACGTGAAGTCAGTTGCATATGCATATGATTAAAAAAAGTTGTCCTGCCCAGTCATATGTCACGTGAAGTCAGTTGCATATGATTAGTGAGTGTAAGCCAAAAATAAGATTACAATCTAACCGAGTCCACTATTTTTTTTCAAAGATTAAGAATATTTGAACTTTGATGAAATTTTAGTTATTAATGTAACATGGATTCCGAACCACTAGAATTGTTTTAAACAATAATAAATAAAAAAATAACAACTCAACAACCCAATCCCGAAAATAGGATAACGAGTTGAATTAGGGTGTGAAATCTAGAGTTTTTCGGGTCACCAACCTAATTCATCCAAAATTTAAAACTGTTAGGTCAATATTCACTCAACGAACGCACAACATTATTTAGTTAAACGACCGACGAATGTGCATCATCATCAACAACTCTTCAAATAAATACTTTATATTTACCCCACACAAGAAAAATATCGTCACTCTTAATTATTTATAAGTACATATTCTTTCACACCAGCGGTTTAAAACAAAAAAATTATAAATAATTTTTGTATTTCAATGGGAAGGGTAATATTGTAATTTTGAAAGAATAAATATATTTTTTAAACAAATTTATGGCATTAAAATTAAATCAAAATATATTTAATCTAAAAAGAATATTAAATAATATTTATATAATAAAAAAAGAGGTACTTTTTCTAGATGAATGTGATCCCCACTCTAATTACAAATTAATTTAAAATAATTAAAACTCATGAAAAAAAGGGAAAATTGAGCATTGCTCGAGTGACCGTGCGAGTTCCTTCCAGGGTGACCCGCATGCAAGCCATTCCAACTTCCACGTGCACAACACGACATCCTCTCGCCATTCTCCCGCGCGTCGTGTCTGTGACTCTCACCTACTCTCCTAATTCCAAGCGTTTCTCCCGCGCGTCAGCTTCAAACTAACGCTACCAAGGCTAAAACCGTAATTCCACCCATGCTTCCGAATAAAGAAGCCCCTCAAACAAACACTTGGTTCCGAAGTAACTGCCCATGGGGGCCGCTCACAACCCCCCTTCTTTAATTAATCCAACTGTTCTTCCATTTACCTCCACCGTCCGATTGAAACAACTCCCAAAGTATTCTAATCTAACGGTGTGGAAGAAACCCTTCAGCGGATTATTCTGGACTTCACCGCACTTTAGTGGATTTATTATTTTTCTTTTTTCAGTGGATTTTCCAGAGAGGTAAATTTATTCTTTTATTTATTTATTTATTTATTTTGAATTCGCAAATTGGCAGAGCAGAGTAAAGAAGCTAATCCATCCATACTTGCTCAAGAAAAAGGGGAAAAACAAAATGAAAAATTAAAATCGATGGAGCTTTGAATTTCACATTTTTTTCGCAGTTTGTAAGCTCTGTTCTTTCATTCTCTCGCGCTTCCTTCATTTCTTGCTCTGTTCTTTTGTTTTGTTTTTCCTTTTTTACTTTCTTGGCTACTGTGTAGATCTCTCTCTGTATTTCCAGCTGCTTGGTTTGCAGGGTAAGTTCATGTTGTTTCTCTGAGGCTTTGTTTTCTGTTCAGGAATGGTAGATTAGGGGTTTTGAAGTGGGCACATTGATTGAGGTGGGTAAGTTTCAGATCTGATGATGTGGGTGTTCTTGAACTTCGTTTTGTCTTTTGGGTTGTGTTTATTTCGGTGTGTTGTGGTGATTTTGTCGGTGGGGTTTCTTTAATTCATGGGCTTAGTTTGTTTTCTTCATGGGGTTTCTTAATATGTTGCTTTTGGGGTTGTTGTTCATCGTTGGTCGTGATCTATATGAATTGGGGTTTGTTTGATATGCTCATTTCTGATTGTGATTTGTGGAGCTTTGCTTTTTTTTTTCTTCAACTCATGTTGTTCTGTGATTGGTCTTTGAGCATTTGGACCCTCTGAGAGTTTGGATTTGGATGATTTGATCTGCTGCTTGTGGTGTTTCTTTCTGGGTCGGTGAAGTGAATGAGAGCACTGACTATGAGTGTGAGAGAGTCGAAGAACTTGTGCTGTTTTTGATTTTGTAGCTCACGGAAGGGAAAATGTTAGTTTATCTACCAAATTATGTTTAGTGTGGTGATGTTGTGAAGTTCGAGTGTGTTATTGAAGTTTTTCTTATTTGAATAAGCGATCTGAAGTGTTTGATGTTTCGTATTTACTGTCGAGAATTCGATATTGCTATATTGTTCAGTAAGATTTTATGTTTGCAGAGCTTGACCGTTTCAGCAATGGGGAAGTCGCCGGGGAAATGGATTAAAACTATCTTGTTTGGGAAGAAGTCTTCCAAATCTAATCTTTCTAAGAACAGAGAGGTAATGGAGGCTTCGCTATTGTTATGAATGTTTCCGAGTGTAACATAGGCGTCTTATCTAGCTGCCAATTTTCATTTTAAGGTTCCGTATAATTCACTCGAGCTATAGATTCATCTGGTTCGTCTTTTTTTCTGTTATCCAATGCCGATGTATTTTCATTTATCTCTGCAGTGCGCTTGTTCTAATTTGACTTCCAATTATATTTGTTGTCATCATACATCTCTCAGTTGTAAAATATTTTGAACTTCTAAATCATTATGCAAATATCTAATACGAGCCACAGACGTTCACGATCATTGGAACAATAGAAGTTAAGTCATGTTTGTTTGCCCACATGCTGACTTGAAGCGATGGCGTTCGGTTTCATGGCTGCAGCTTGAACCTCCATACTGTCAATATTGATGTTGTCGGTGGGAAACTGGATTGAACTGTAATACCAATTGTTTAATACGTCTCTCTTTTGATACTATGTAGAAAAATGGAAATGAGAAGGAAGTATTGGTTTCTGTCAAGGCCTCAGAGGCTACTTCTGTTATTACGCATACTGCAGCTTCAGAACCAACCCTAAATACCATTGAGACGAACGAAGTGGTGTCAAAAATTACCCACAATGAGGCAGCTAATGCATCGTGTGAAAGATCGATATCAATTACAGGAAATCAAGATGCAGAAATTCAAGGTTCTACGTGCCAAGATACACCATCTGATTCTGAGAGAATCCGTAAAGAGGAGGCTGCAACTAAGGCTCAGGCTGCGTTTAGGGGTTATTTGGTAAGTATAGTACTCGTCGTAATGTGGTTAAAGTATATGCTGTTTTTGGCCGGCCTATTCACTTTTCACTACTAATTATCTTTTGACGCTGGACACCCGTCGTCTTCAAAATTTTGATTATTGGACTTGATGAAATAATACTTGCACGTTGTCTTGCGTAATATGCTGTGTTGTCTTGAGATATTTTACTGACACAAATTTTGATTGAAGGCTCGCCGAGCATTCCGGGCCCTCAAAGGTATTATTAGGTTGCAGGCGCTTATTCGTGGTCACTTAGTGAGGAGACAAGCTGTTGCTACTCTATGTTGTATGCTTGGAATTGTTAAGTTTCAGGCTATTGCTCGGGGAAGGAGAGTGAGGCTTTCTGATGTCGGTCTCGAAGTGCAAAACAAATATAGATTAGTGCAGCTACAGGTACTGCAGAAAATTACACTGCTATTGTTATCTACATACATTTGTTTACGTTCTATGGGATTATATTTTGTTTAAATATCTTTTCAACATCAGGAACAACTATTAGTGGCTCCTGCTGGAGTAAGTCTCTCGACACGTATGTCGAAGCTTTCAGCAAATGCTTTCACCATTAAGGTAAGTTTAAGTTTATCATCACGTCATTCTCCGGACATGGTTCTACTAATGTTCATCTGTTAAATCTGCATCGAGTAGCAATGAATTTTGTCATTCATATATTCGTTCTTGTAGCTTGCTTCATCTACAACAGCCAAACCTCTGCAAATCTATTTTGATAATGAAGATGAAAATTCAGCCTTGAAATGGTTAGAGCGCTGGTCAAATTCTCGATTCTGGAAACCGATTCCCCCAGTAAAAAAGGCTGCAGAGTTTAAATCTCAAAGAAGGCTGAGAACTGGTCAAACGGGAGAGGGACATACCGTGAGGTCAAAACGCACGAGGAGAGTTCCCACTGTAAACAATGACAGTACTGTCCAATCATCTGCAGAAGTCGAGAAACCTAAACGTACATTTAGGAAAGCTTCAAGTCACTCAGCTGCAGAGCAGGCTCAGGAGAATCCTCAGATGGAGCTTGAAAAGGTCAAGCGCAGTCTAAGAAAGGTCCATAACCCCGTTCTCGAGAATCCTACCCCGATTGAAGCAGATGCGGAGAAGCCCAAGGAAAGTTCGGACAAGGTTTCTAATGGTCTAGGCCGTGACATTTTGGCCAGAGGTACTAATAATTCTTCTGAGAAAATGAAAAAAGAGGCTATCTCAACAATACCCGTCCAGCCTGATTTGGAAACAACTCCTGAGCCGATACCGATAAAAGAGGTACTTAATGTAACTAATGGTGATCCAGTTGTAGAATCACAGCCTTTGATTGAGGGCAATGATAAAGATAAGAGCATTGCTGGTAATGAGGCTGGTGTGGAGACTAAGCCTTTGACAGAGAGCTACCCTAAAGATGCCATCAACCAACTATTAACAAATGGGGAATCAAACCATAAGGAAGATACCGCTAACAACGAGAACCCGAAATCTGGTAGGAAAGGCTCTACTCCAGCCAAGCAAGAACGAGTGGAGAACGGGTTGCAACACAGTCCAACCATACCTAGCTACATGGTAGCAACTGAATCTGCAAAGGCAAAACTAAGAGCACAAGGATCTCCAAGATTCGAACAGGAGAGTGAAAGAAATAACAACAATCGACGACATTCTTTACCGTCATCCACCAATGCTAAACTCAGCTCACCGTCTCCACGAACACAAAGACTTGTTCAAGCAGGCGGTAAAGGCGGAAACAAAAATGACAAGGCACACATGGGATCCAGAGATGGAAATGGTAAAATACTCATCATCTTAGAAGCTACATATGACAGCTTTAGCATTGATATCGATGCGGAATCCCGTTCCAATAGGAATACGATTATATTCTTTTTACTAATCCACGGCATCCATTTGAATATCGTTTAGAATCCGAGTTTATTTGTCTTTGCATCCTGCTGAAACACCATATCTTTTGAAATTTATTGCAGGAAAGGTAATCCAAGCAGACTGGAGAAGGTAAGCATTGGCTTTTCAGTGACTGGGACCATCTTCAAGTGGGGCTGCTGAGGCCAGTATGGTCTTATCTGATTATCCTTTCATCTTGGTTGTTTGAGTGCATGTACATCATAGGTTTTATGTTTTTTTCTTCACTGTTTTCTGTTCTTTTTCATAAGTTTTTTGTGCTTCCATTACACATTATTTAAGGTACCTCTGTTCTAATACAGATTGTTTATACTGTATCTGATTGTGATTATCTTGTTCAATGACACCTTACTTATGCTGCTGCTCTCATGGATATTTGTGTGTGAATTCATCCAAGTTTGTGTGTGAATTCATCCTTTTTCTAGAATCAAAATTTGCTGCTGTTCTTCCTTGGGTTTCGCTTATTCTGATTCAGATACTGTCTTTGATGTTTATCTTTAAAGTGGAAATGTAGAAACTGAGATGTTTGTTCAATATTTTGTTCCTGAAAAAGGAAATGAATTGCTCAGCATCTGAAACCGATGCAACGGGCAAAGGTTGCTGAATTCAAGCCATTTCCGAGTACATTCTCGATGGTGAACATGTAAACAAGGTATACGAACTGCATTAAACTTGGAGCCAAGTGATATCTCATACAAACAAATAACACAATCACTCATAACCCCATCAATTTTGTTCGACTCTCAACCCGATGATTTTCCAAAATGAGCATGAGCTCGACCACCATGGGAATGGTGCGGCATAGACCATTATTGGGTTTGAGAAGGAATGTGACTTAAATTGTCGCATCTTAGCTTGAAATCCTTGTCATGTCCCTTCGTATGGATTCATTTATGTCCTCTTTCTTATCACGACTCTAATTCTCAATGCAAATCCCTCGGGATAAATGGCCAACCAAAGCAACTCTCTTAAATGGCTGATGCTACTCACTATTTCCATCCTTACTTTGTAAAGGTAATATCTCTGCAACATGTCCTTTGGGGTTTCATATGGATGGTAATGGAGAGCTCCCTTTCTGTGTTGTGGAATTTACAGGTGAAGGTAAATTATGTGTTATTGGGGACTTCGGCCCTGGACTGCTTGCTCTTTGGTTATCGGTGGGCTTAACCAGGAGCTGTTCCAGAGCATATAAAACTTCCGACATCAGTGGTCGGAATTTTGCCTCCCGAATGCACTGCAATGCAAGGACTGTAGTCATGTAAGCAGCTTTTTGCGGGTATTGGCCCTCCAACCTGGTGTCCATTATCCGAAATAACTTGCGCTTATCAGCTAGATAAGGTCTTGCCCAATCCACAAGATGTTGTTCGACACCGACTTTAGTTTTATCTACAACACGTCGTCCTGAGAGGAGCTCTAGTAGCACGACACCAAAGCTATACACATCACACCTGGCTGTTAGCATACCTGCATTGCGAAGGGAAAAGTGATATGAACATGTTTTGCCTAGGCTCGGGGGCACCGTAGTTCGAGATCAAACATTTAGAAACCCGTAGTTACAACAAAACTTTATAACTTTTCATTCAGTAAACGAAAAGAGACTAATGCTGTAACACAAGCCAATCACTAACAGATATTGTCCGCTCATCAGCCTCATGGTTTTAAAATGTTTCTACTAGGGAGAGGTTTTCACACCTTTATAAGAAATGTTTCGTTACCCTCTCCAACCAATGTAGGATCTCACACTCTACCCTCATGGAGGCCCAACGTCCTTGTTGGCACACCTCCCGGTGTTTAGTTATGATACCATTCATAATAGCCTAAGCTAACTACTAGCAGATATTGTCCGTTTTGGTCTGTTACGATCGCATCTACTCGGGAGAAGTTTTCATACCCTTATAAGGAATACGTTGTTCCCATCTCCAACCAACGTGAAATCTCACACATGCTCACAAATGCTCAAAAGGATACAAATTCAAAAGGCATCCCAATAAACCAGTGATTCTTAAAATGGGGCAGAAAGCATACCAGTGGCAATGTATTCTGGAGCAGCATAGCCTTGAGTACCAATGACCCGAGTGGACACATGACTCCGATCACCAGTTGGGCCTGCTTTAGCCAAACCAAAGTCCGAAAGCTTTGCATTGAATTCCTGTGTGCATAATAATTTCATTCTTACTGATCAGACAGCTAAACTTCAGTTATAAATTCACAACAGCTTGTATAGATTAGAACGAGAACGAGGAGGAAAAAGTGTTCGTATCTTCACTCTACTTCCTATTATGCTACTTTTTCGTACGTAAATATTTCGTTTACTCGAACAAAAGGATAGACATACAGAATCTAAGAGGATGTTTGAAGCCTTGAAATCGCGATAGATAACTGGCTCTGCGGAGTCGTGCAGAAAGGAAAGCCCTCGAGCAGCTCCGATAGCAACTTTGATCCTTCTTGCCCAAGAAAGTGGTCGTGCACCCACTGCATTATTGTATGACAGAGATAGTTAAGAACAAAGGTTAATGGTTGCAGTTAGCCAAAACGTTTCTGACTTACTTCTAAATAGATGATTTTCGAGGCTTCCTTTGGACATGTACTCATAGACGAGAAGTCGGCTCTCCCCGTCGAGGCAGAATCCGATTAGTTTAACGAGATGTGGATGATGAAGCTGACTGAGGTGAGTTACTTCTGACTGCAATCAATAGCAACCTGATTTACAAAGCCAACTATAAGCCCGAAAGATCAACGGGTCGTATAAAAAAGAACGAGAAAACTACCAGCCATTCCTTGTGGCCTTGAAAGCCTTCAGATTTAAGCTTCTTGACAGCAACAACCATTCCAGTTCCAGGCTTCACCGATTCGAGCGTTTGTTCATCGAGCCATCCTTTGTAAACATGACCGAACCCTCCTTCTCCAATGAGACTGTCGGGGCAGAAGCTTTTCGTGGCATTCTTAAGCTCACTGTATGTGAAGGCTTTCAGATTTGGAGACAACAATATTTCACCTTCAGATCTTTTAGGTTGAAGACCTCTAGATGGAGTATTCCCACCAAGTGCTGTTGCTCTCAAAGTAGCAGTTGAATGACCTTTCCTATCTTGATTATTTGGTGTTTCTGCAAGGGATAACAATCACAATTACATAATACAAAGATCAATGTTTGAGCTAAAGTTCATTAACAAGATCACAGCCTCCTTCGCACAGTCCGATCCCACTGGGTTCGAGTGTTTGCAACATATCGTATCTTATGCTCGTTGTCTCTCGAACTCCCATGCATTAACCCCAAGCGAAAATTTCTCCAATGTTCCATAGCCTACTATAACTTAGTTTCGGTTTATTATGCACTAGATAAACTGAGGAGAGTAGCTAACTCTTACTGAATAGTACCACCATTTGTCTCACAGTCACTGTGAGATCTCACATCGATTGGAGAGGAGAACGAAACATTCTTTATAAGGGTAGGGAAACCTCTCTCTAGCAGAGGCGTTTTAAAAACCTTGAGGAAAAAGCTTAAAGAGGACAATATCTGCTAACAGTGAGTTTGGGTTGTTATAGCCACCGTCTCACCGTCTATCTACCTCCTAGGAAACACATTATGATCTTCAAACCAGTTGCAGTTCATTCGAAAGCAAGCATATAAATAAATAAAATCTTGACCCGCCAGTTGTTTCATCTATCTCTTCGTGAGACAAGTTATTTAGTAGTCCAACCCTACCGTTAACATACATGGTCCTTTTTGGGCTTTTCCTTTCGAATTTTCCTCAAGGTTTTTAACTCCAACAGATGTGTGATCTCACAATCTATCTCCTTGGAGACCCAATGTCCTCTCGCACTTAGTTCTCTCTCCAATCAATATAGGATCTCACAATCCATCCTCTTCTGGGACCCAACGTCCTTGCTGGCACATCACTTAGTGTCCACCCCTACAGGGCTCAATGTCCTCGCTAGCAACTTACAAAGCTAAAACTACGGCATGGGAATTAAATCCAAGCTAAGAGGGGAACAGAATCCAAGCTACAAAAAACGTCGCATAAATGGGAACACAATAGCAGAGAAATCACAAGCAAAACCAAAAAAGCGCTACAATCCATTCATCCATGAAAAACCCTAAACAAAGAAATCCCGGAAAGTTACCATTTCCAAACCACAAAACAAAGATCACAAACTAAAAGATGGGGAAAAAGGAGAAGAATCCATGGAATCAACAATGAAAATGGAATTAGGGCAAAGAAATTACCAGAATTAGGGAGCGATTTGAGAGAGCTATTAACCTTAACGCGAGCTTGGAGGCAATTACCCATTGGAAAAAACGAGAGCGAAAGCAAGACGAAGGCAACAACAAGAACAAGTACGAAGAACTCTGAAAATATTGCAGAGTTCGAATCGTTCTAGTGACGCTTCTCTCGCTTCTCTTCGAGCATCGGGCGCTTCTTCTCGCCCAGTTATGGAGGTTAACATCAAATCTGAACCAATGCAACAAAAATTGAACATCATTCTTTTGTGACAAAAATAGATTTTCGTCTGATTTTTATTTAAGGAAAAAAAAAAAAAAATAGAGATAGTGACGCCGGAAGAACGAAAAGGGAGAGGGATGAGAATGTCGATGTCAAAAAATGATAAATTGCTGACGTGTAAGTACCGGGACACACTGCGCCGGCGACAAGCAACTCCGTTAAATACACTTTTACTAAAATGCCCCCAACTTTTATTATATTAAATTAATTATACCATATTGTTATCAATAAAAATTAAAAAAAAAAAGGAGAAATTTAGGAAAATGTAAAATGACATTTTTAGGAAAATACTTTTTTTTTTCAACTTAAAATTTTAGTTAAAAATGATTTTTCTCGAGACGTGGAAGCTTTTTCTGTGCTCGTCTCTTCTTGCAAAAATTTTCATTTATTTTTGTTAGAAATTAGTGGAAATTAAATTTTTTTAGAAATTTTTTATAATCATTTTTATTCTGATCCCTTAAATAAGGAAACTTTATTATAAAACGGGTTTATAACAGAGTATTTAGTATTATGACTGGTTTTATGATAGTTAGGTTATGTTGGTTCTGTGAATAGGCTTTAAGTGCGATTTTCTGGAAGAATGAAATATCATAAGTGAAATTGAATTTTGATTAATAAGAACGATCCGCTAAGGTAAGCTTACGACCACTAAGACGATCTCTTAAGAATTTCTTTTAAAAAAAAATGTGAGTAACAACAAAATATGTTGGAAGAACCATATTGGTTTGTGAGGATAGTCTTTACTCTTACAAAAACATGTACACCGGGGATAATCTACCCTCTCAGAAACATGTCAAAACAATAGACAACATGACCATATAACAAAAACAAAACACAGGAGAATGTTAAATTGTCAAAAATAGAGGACGTT